ACTTTGATATGGGAAGATTTTCATGTGTCAAAATTAGTAAGAGTAGTCATAAATTTACAAAGAAAATGATGGAAATTTAATATTTGTAAGTTATGACAATAAAATAATGAAACCCATGTTACATTGGTAACAATAGATACTGTAACTTATCAAAATCCCATTTAAAAAAAGTTTGTGGGTTTATGATTCAATATTCTCTTTTATATACTGAGTGAACCTGTTAGAGACGGAAGAGGAAACACATTACTGCCGTGTCATTCTCCTCATCCCTTCCATGTCCCGATTGTGCAGGACTAGTGTATGTGATCTCTTCATTGTCTACAGTCTTTATTCTTACAGGGTCTCACTGTTGCTCCCGCTGGTCTCAAACTCCTGAGCTCAAGGGATCCTCGCTTCTCAGCCTCCCAGAGTGCTAGGATTACAGGTCTGAGCTACTAGGCCCAGCCTTGTAATTTGTATTTCCTCTTTTCTTTTTGTTTGATCAGTTTACCTAGAGATTTATCAATTTTATTGACATTCTGAGAGTAGCAGATTCAGGCTTTGTTAATGGTCTCTCTTGTTTTCTATTCCGTTGATCGTTGCTCCTTTCTTTAATGTGTCTTTCCTTCTGTCTACTTTGGATTTGTGGTACTTCGCCCTTCTTTTTGTAGGCATTTACTTTAGCCTTTCTTCTCTTCTAATGCAAACGTTTAAAACTATAGATTTTCCTTTAAACATAGCTTTAGCTGCATCCTACAAATTATCACGTGTTGTACTTTCATTTTCATTCAGCTCAAAAGATCTGCAAACTCCTGGGCTTAAGTGGTCCACTCATCTCAGACTCCCAAATATCCAGGCCTATAGACATGTGCCACAATGCCCAGTTACTGTTTCCTCTTTTTTTATTTTTTATAGATGGAGTCTCACTATATTGCCCTGACTGTTTTCAAACACCTGACCTTAAACAATCCTTCCCCCCTACTTTGGCTTCCCAAACTGCTGGAATTACAGGCCTGAGTCACTGTTCTCAGCCCCTTATGATTTCTCACTTGACCTGTGAACTGTGTATTATTTAGTTCTTCTATATCAGGGCTTTTTCTAGATGTTTTATTGTTAAGTCTCAATTTAATTCTTTTGTGGTCAGATACACATTTTCTGTATGATTTCTATTTAATTGAATTGACCCTTTGGTCATTACGGAATATCCTTTTTTTTTTCTTTTTCTTTTTTTTTTTTTTTTGATATAGCTAGTTTCTAAAGTCTAGTTTATGTGATAGTAATATATTTCCTAAAGCCTTCCTGTATTTACTGTTTTTATGCTATATGTACTTTTAGCTGTTTACTTGAACCTGTGTCTGTAAAGTACATATTTCATAAATAGCGTATAGTATTGTGTTGCTTTTTAAATCAGTTCACAAGCTCTGTCTTTTAAGTATTTAGTTCATTAATACTTACTATATGTATTGATATAGTTATATTTAGGTCTACCATTTTATATGTACCCCTTCTGTTTTTTCTTTCTTTGTATTTCCTTTTCAGCTTCCTTTAGGATTAATGAGCATTATTAAGAATTTATTTTTTTGTCTTTTTAGCTATACTTTTCTTCTTTATTTTATTTAAGTAGTTGTCTCAAGGATGGGGAATATGTGGCCTCAGTGCCACATGTGACCCTCTAGATCCCTAAGTGCTGCCGCGTGATGAAATTCAAACTTCACAGAACAAATCCCATTATTACAGGATTTGTTCTATAAAATTTGGATGCAGTCAAAAGACTGCACTCAAGGATCCAGAAGGCCACAGCTTCCTTACCCCTGCAGGGATTATAGTATATGTGCTTAACATTTCAGTGTCCTTAGAGTTACTGTTTCACTGCTTCCTGTGACATGTTGAGACATCATAACTGTATGAGTTCATTTACCTGCCCCATATTTTATTTTATAGAGGCTATATATATTACATCTATGTTCCTACAGTAAAGCAATACTGTTTTCACTGTAAACATTTATATATATTTGAAATTAAGGGAAATAAATAATTTTTGATAGTTGCCCCTATATTTACTCTAATAGTTTAATGCATAAAGATCCAAGTTTCCATCTGTTACTATTTCTCTTGAAGAACTTTATTATTTATTATAATCAGTTTTGCTGTTGAGGATAATTTTTTACTTCCCTTTATCTCAAAATGTATTTTACTTTCATTCTTGAGAGATATTTTTGCTAGGTATAAAATTCTAGTTTGCCTTTTTCTTGCAACATAGTAAGAATTGTGTTCCTCCAACTTCTCCCTTATTTCTGATGAGAATCCAGCAGCAATGACTTGGATCATTGCTCCCCTGTATGTAGTACGTCGTTTTTCTTGGGATGTTTTCAAGACTTCTCTTCACCTTTAGTTTTTATCAGTTTGACTGTGGTGTTCCTAATCTTGGGCTTCTTCACATTTATCTTTCTTAGTGTTTGTTGAAGTTGTAGAATCTGTAAATTTGTCTCTCACTAAATTTGAAATTTTTTTTATCCCACTTAAAAAAAAGTTTCTGTCTCATTTTCTATCTTTTCTACTTTGCTTATTCTTTGCTTAGTTATTCAAATTCAATAATTTTGACTGACTTATTTTCAGATACATAGATTATTTTCTAGTTATCACCAATTTGCTTTTAATCCCATTTCAGAGATTGTATTTTTTAGTTACAGATTTTCTACTTTTTCACTTTCTAATTTTTCTCCTGAAATTGCTTAGTTTTTTATTCATTACAAGCATAATTATATTTATTCCTTTATTTATTTTTTTATCAGATCACAACCGTGTACACTACTGCATTTGTGGGGTACAATGTGCTGATTTTATATACAATTTAGAATCAAACTGCTTAAGATGTCATTCACCTCACTTATCTAATTGTGATGTGTGTTTAGGCATATATACTCTACTATTAATATATTTGACAGTGGTTATGGCACTGGCCACGTGCACTGAAGCTGGTGGGTTTGAACCCAGCCTGGGCCTGCTAAATAACAGTGACAACTGCAACAAAAAATAGCCAGGTGTTGTGGCGGGCACCTATAGTCTCAACCACTTGGGAGGCT